CTCTCTATTTTGCAATCTCTCCCTCTTTTCCAATGTGTGAGACCCCCCCTTTTTCCAAGCCTCCTTAGGTCTATTTATACTTTCATATCCGTTCTTGGCCAATTTGGAGTCTTTTTGTGGAGTTTTCGCGGCCCAAACAATAAAAACCTAAAATCTGTGGCGGCGCGCGGCGCTTGAGCGCTATGGGACAGCGCTTGAGCGCTGAAAATCTGTTAAAAATCCATTTTCTGGCTAGTGCAGCGCTTGAGCGCTGAGTGTGTAGCGCTCGGGCGCCAAGTTTCTGTCCACTTTGCGTCTGTTTCAGTAATTTTGTCATAACTTTTCCTTCCGATGTCCGATTGAGATGATTCAAGTTGCGTTAGAAAGATAACTCGAAGGACTACAACTTTGATAGAAATAGCTCTTCTTCAATTCGAACTTTATCTAGGCCAAAAATGCATCTCAATCTCCAACTAAAATTTAGACATCCTTGTGCGGTTGGAAATTGATTTGTTTTCACTCCTTTTGATCTTTCGTTGCATCCATTTGACCTCTAGCATTCTTGAATCTTCATCGTGAGCTTCGACACAACTTTTGTGTATTTGCACTTTAACCCTCAAGCTTTGGATCTTTCCACTTTTTCGCCAATTTTTGCATTCTTTTCTCCAATTCTTCATCATCCATCGAGTTTCACCTAATAACATATTATATCATAAATTAGGCTATAATCTCATTAAAAAAACCACAAAATATCATAATTTGGAGCCCGAATAAGTGTATAAAATACACTTATCAGCGCACGGGGAATATCTCGAGGAAAAATGAAATGCCCTTGACAAGTATTCTAGAAGTAAAGCTATTTGACGTCTGGGGAATTGACTTCATGGGACCATTCCCATCTTCATTCTCCAATCAGTACATCCTTATGGCGGTTGACTATGTCTCTAAGTGGGTAGAGGCAGTGGTCTTGCCTACTAACGACGCATAAGTGGTGATTGGATTCCTAAAGAAGCACATTTTCACTCGTTATGGCACAACGAGAGCTATCATCAGTCACGGGGGAAACACTTTTGTAATCGCCAGTTTGAGCAGTTCTTGAGTAAGTATGGATACACCTAGGGCTATCATCAGTGAAGGGGCCAACACTTCTGTAATAGCCGATTGAGCCTATTGGGCACTTCGAAGGTTGAATCTAGATCTGCAAGCAGCGGGTGAACAGTGGCTACAAGTTGTGATTGATTGTTCACAAATTTTGCTAATTGGTAATTTGATATTTGAATATTGTTACAAGTTGAACACAATTTTGACCCATTTCATATGTAACTGCTTATATATTTCTACTTTTTAGATGTCTATTATGTTTAGTTTTACTGTTTCATATATTATTTATGCTTTTATTTTATTGGTTACTTCTGCAGATGTCTTTGGCATATATAGATTTCCAAACCAATGGTACTTTGCTACAATAACTCAATATCTAAATCACCAATATGTCAAAGATTATGTAGGAACTTATTAGTGCTGATGAACAAGCATCTTTAATGTGAAGTAATTTTCATGAATTCATAAATGGTATTATTTATAGAGCTGAGGAACAACAACAATTTAGAGTAAATTGATTCATGAATTTATAATGAGACAGTGAATTGAGGAAAAAACAATGAAGTGTGGGTAAAATTAGATAACTATTTAGCTCGCTTTGGTATGCAGGAATTTTGTTTCATTACTGGCTTACCTTGCCATGAAATATCTGTAAATCTGAACTTCAACAACAATCGACTTCGAAATCAATACTTTTAGTATGAAAATGCTTTCTGAAACATTCCGTCTATGCGAACATCAACAAGACAAATTTAAACTGGTAATGTTAGTAGAATGTACTCTAAACCCCACTAGAAGATACATTGACTACAGAATTGTGGGTATGGTAGAGAACCTTCAGGACTTCTTTGATTATCCATGGGGGCGTAAAGCATATTTTATTTTATTAAACTCATTGCAACAATCACAATTGGAAAGAATACAGAGATTGCAAAAAAAAAAAAAATGACCAAAGCCAATGTAAATATTCATTACATAAATATCCATTTGCATTCTAGGTACTTTTCTCCTATTCTTTTATTTTTGACCTAATTTACTTATAAATATCTTATATTTCTAATCTTTATTTTCCTTACTTTTTAGTACTGTATATATGAAGTATTTCCACAAATTGGGCAAAATTTTGGATAACGTAGATATAAAACATTACAAAGCCCAAGAATGCACAAGTGGAAACCAAATAAAATATTAACTCATCAAATAATTAAACAATTCTTAACTACCCAAGAGGTAATTTNAATTTACTTATAAATATCTTATATTTCTAATCTTTATTTTCCTTACTTTTTAGTACTGTATATATGAAGTATTTCCACAAATTGGGCAAAATTTTGGATAACGTAGATATAAAACATTACAAAGCCCAAGAATGCACAAGTGGAAACCAAATAAAATATTAACTCATCAAATAATTAAACAATTCTTAACTACCCAAGAGGTAATATATATATATTATAATATTATATTATGTATTTAATTATATTTTTTCCCTTTCAAAAAAAATTCAAAACAAATCATTTAAATATTTCATTAGATCCAAGTTCTTCCAGTATTGCAACCTACGGAAGAAGAATTGCATACATTGTGGTATACAACTCTCTCATTACCAGAAGACAACTACCACAACATACTAGATAGAACTATAAATGGAGAATTCAACAATACAGCACAACAAATTCCAGAAGATGACACTGATAACATGCCAATCCATCCTAATGTCTCAATAGCAAATACTTCAGTTGGAGCTAGCCTAAGTTCTACTTCCATTGGTACAAACTGGGTAACTAAAGAAGAAATGCAACAGATGATGAACACATATAGGCATCATATAGTATCAGATGTATGCGCCAACTTAAAATTAAATATTGTTGAAGAATCTAGGAGACAAGATAGCCACCATCAAGCAATTCTCCAAAATCAGAAAAAGTTATTTGAACAACAACAAAAGTGGAAACAAAACCAATATCAACATATGTAGTCTACCATGCAAGATATTCCAGGTTTTTGTGATACTTTATTTAGCACGAGCATTTCTGAAAAAGCACAAAAACTACGACAATGGCAAGAAGAACATTATCAAGGCATGCAATCTAGCATGCGACATTATGTAGATACCAGTTTGGCTTCAGTAAACTCTTATATTGACGAAGAACATAGCAATATGCTCAAGAAATTATCAGACTGGGAATCAAACATAGAAACTAATATATCTTCCTTCCAACAAGATATTCCTCTCCATAAGACTACAATTGATACTACAGAACCAAAACATGCCTCAACATCTCAGCAACTTCAACATGTTGAAAATTTAACACAAGAAAAAAGAGGTAGGGGAAAAAAGATACAGTCTTCAGGTTATCCTTTAGAAGACTATCTTATGAAGAGATACACAACAATCGGAGATTGGATACTAAGAAATCCATCCGGGTAACAAATTCAAATTTTATCATATTAACTTTAATATTATAATTTTCATTTAATTTATTTCATAGTAATTTCAATTATATTATACAGTGCGTATTGGGAAGCCGGAGGCGATAATCTATATGGAAGAGACATGTTGAAAGATTTATTGGATATAACAAAAGATATCAATATTGCGGTTAGTCAACTACAGTTTAATAATAACAAATATTTTTTTCCCATATTCAATATATCTAACTTACACTTATCTATTATGCCAGAATATCAACTTGGAATTAAGATTACTCAGGCAGTTGATTAATGATGGTTGCACCCTTATTTCTAAAGAATATGCAATTATGGACTTTACATGCAAAAATGAATATGTTAATCATCACATGTGGATGATAAACGAACAACGAAGAAATACTAGTGGCGCTGCAGACATCTCCCTTAGAAGGGTACATAAATGGCAATTTCCCAATTGATGGTCGTCCATGGATACATTGCAATTATTTATTAATTCCATGCTCATATCCAGACAGCAATTGGTATCTTTTTGTTGTTGATTTCCGTGAATGGATATTCAAAATATATGATTGCAGCCATCATGTCCATACACCAGATGAAATCAGAACACATGCAAGTACATCATATAATTTTGTCCATAGCTTATTGTTGTCTCCAACATTTTCATCCCACAGACTGGATCTCAGAAAATATAGAAAGAAAAAGATGGACATCATACCTTATTTATCATGTGCAAACAATGGGTAAACATTCAAATACTATTTACTATAATAATTATTTCCCTATATAATTTAATTTTACATCTATAATACTAATTTCATCTAACATAAATCTTTTTTTATAGGCCCAACTGCGCAATATTTGTGCTCAAATTCATAGAATGCTTTGTTTTAGGATATTCATTAGAAACAGTTTCATCAGATACGATGAGTATTTACAGAAAGAAAATTGCAGTTGATATTTGTTTTAATGAATATTTTCTACATTCCCGGTCATCTTAGTATTAATGGATAACAAAAATTGCGGAAATTTTGAAGTGTTGCAACCAAGGTGCTCATAAATATTTTATTTTAATCATCTATGCTATTTCCATGCTCTAAATTTTAGAAGTTGAATTCTTGCAAAACCTATTGACAATCTTCCCAGTACAAAAACACAATTGAAGAGAATGCAGTTGAAACAAACTGGTAAGCTAANTTTTTCATGCTCTTCGGCTGCATTGTTAAATGTTCCATTTGTTCTTTAGTTTTTGTTTTTTCAGGTTTTAAGACATCATTAATACTATAAATCTCAACAACCAATGAAGTTTGCTAACCTAAGGATCGTTCAATTTATTGTTAAGTAAATCCTAACATTTGCCTCTCATAACAAAAATATAATCCTTATAAAATTATAAATTTCTTTTCAAATTATCCATATAGACAATCTTACATCGTGCAAAAACATAAAAAACAAACAGATGTCAATAGGCCAAAATAATGTTGACAATGAAATTGGGAAGGAGTCACGATTACTTTTGGGTTCTCCTTAATTCTTTACAGGTAAGTTTTGTGCGGTGAAATCTACCAATTTGCTGAAAAACTAAGCTTTAATTATTATTTTCAGAACATAAACACTAAAGATCTAACTTCCTTTGATAATTTTTAATTTCCTAACTTATCTGATATTTTTAACAAGCTTGCTAAAATTGATTGGACGAAAAACACATAGATTTGTAAGTTATTCGCATCTGATAATAGTAAGCTTCAATACTTTTATACTGCATTGTAATGTTGCTATTATTGATGACCACTGCTCATTCAATGGGGCCTCAATTCATTTATTCAATATTTTGACAAAAGGTTCTCATTGGATGTTGTTTCTTTACTTGTTGATGATTTGTGTAAGGTTTATTTAAACCCTAAATGCACTTCTTTTGATTTCTTTCATCAGGAATATTCAGTTCTTTGGACTGGAACAGCAAGAAAAAGTGACTTCATCCTACGTTGTGATCATTGGTCTTGGAGGAGTTGGAAGTCATACTCCATCTATGCTTTTGAGGTCAGGAATAGGCAGACTTCTTCTTGTGGATTTTTGATCAGGTACCTTTTCTTTGTGAACATATCTCCTAATTGCTTGTCATGCTAGATTCTGGACCACTCCTGAGGTCTTCTACTTTGCTATTTTTTGTTCATTTTGTTATTTATCCAATGAATCCATAAAGATTATCGATTACGTGAACTGTTGGGGAAAACTAGAAGTTTGGCATATCGTAGAACCGTACTTAGCAGATTTTCACTATCCTATGATTTGTAAATGCGGTTGAAAATCAGTATACTATGCTATGATTGTGTAAGAAGAAATGTTTTCTTAGAAATTGGATGCATTTCATTGTTTCTATAATAATTTAAAAAATTTCAGGCTATAAAATGATCCGATTACCAAAAAGATAAGATGCGTAGCATCTCCAGTTGCCCATCTATTCATTTTACTCATAACACTCCTTAAGTTTGATATCTCATCTCAAAAGAATATAATCATATACTAACTTTCTACTAAAAAGTTACCATTCTAGTTTTAACAATGGTTATCATGATATTGGGTATCAGAGTGCGCTTTATGTACTTGCTTGTGGTATAAAGTAATTGGCGCACTATTGTACTTCGGTGTGCAGATATACGAGTACTTGAAGCTACTATGTGAAATTTATTACTATATATGTACAATCCAGCAAAATATAATGATGTTCTCACTCTTCTTATCAACTGACAAATGGATTGATGATTTTATTTTTTGCATGATTTCGAAGACAATCTTAAAAAATAAATTGGACCTCCCTCTACTGGCTCAATCTCATAGATATGTTGGTTTGACATGGTATTAGAGTTGGTAGAATGTCCTCGGTTTAAGTCTCATTACCACCCATTTATAAAGTTTTACTTGTGTTAGGCCTTGATTAAAAGGAAAAAAAAAAATTCTGCAATGGTACTGAAGACAACTTAAATAAATAACCTCTATGCTTATTTTCAAATTTATCCTTTCTTCAACGTCGTATGAAAATTTTATATTAGATTGAATGATAACTTTCAGGCAGAATTTTGAATGTAATTCAGCTGGTACACAAATAAAATTTTAGCGTTAGCTACTATATCATGGTTTTTCTCTCTTATAACCTCTACCATTGCTCCTACTTAAGCAGCCGTTAGTAAACCACCTGAATCTAGAATTAGGGTCCAAATGAGATACAGATCAAATTAGCCAATATTGTTGAGGAGTCTTGATTTGCTCAAAATACTGAACACTTTTTTTTATATCCATCTTCATCAAGGATTGATAATCACAATGTAATTGGTTCTGAAGATCTCTGTTTCATCATTAAATAGACATGATGTCGCAACAAGAGAGGCTGTTGGCACCCTCAAAGCCCTTTGCCTCAAGAAGCATTTCTTGACAATTTTCCCAGAGTGCCACATCGATGCAAAAGTGCTGTTATATGATTCATCATCTGAAGAAGAAATTCTTTCTGGGAATCCTCATTTTGTCCTAGATTGCATTAAAATATTGACACTAAGGTGGCTGTACATGTTTCATGAATTTTTTTCGTACACTTATATTCAAAATATGGAAGCATTAATCCTTGATAAATATATTAATCTCCTGTTATCTTACTAGAGGATCTTCATTGTTTGGTTCTTTAGGTAAAGAGCAATTTAGGTAGAGTATGCACTTCATTATATATGTGATGAATACATTATAACAGGTGCAAGTGACACCACCTTCTTGCAATCCAATAAATATTTGAATTTTGACCCCGTAGTCGATACAAGGAACAAAGCTGGCAACAAACGCTTTTGCCAAAATTGTTGTTTCATTGGTAAGCTTTATTTTTATGCTTAAAGGAAATATTCATTAATCGGCATAATAAAATCTTTTGCTGATTAATATAGACACCAGATTGGGAATGAATATAAAGTTTGAAATCTCATAAATTTACATGAGGATGGTTATGAAGAAATTCGTGGTGAAATTGAGATGTTGCAACAATGTAGTCATCCTAATGTTGTTCACTATCTAGGTAGCTACCAAGGAGAATAATATCTTCGAGTATGAAGAAGATCATCGACCTTCGAGTATATGATAATATTTATCTTTCTGGATAGTACCGAGACCATGATGATTTGTGTCCCCTCTTGGTTTCTAAATCAGATAACAAGTGGTTAGTTTTTCACTTGAATTTAAATATATGTGAATTTTGTATTTGTTGGCAGATTGTAATGGAGTATTGTAGGGGGGTGGGAGTGTTGTTGACTTGATGAATGTTATTGAGGAGCCTCTTGAGGAGTATCAAATAGCATATATTTGCAGATAGCCGTTGAAGGTACCATCATTTTAGTTAGTTAAATTTCAAAATCGAGGTTTTTACATCTTTACTATAGATTTGTATAACATGTCCTTCAAAAATGCTGGAATTGTTATTGGGTAATAGGGAATGATTTTGTCCATGAAATAATGCTTCACCATCCAAGGTTAAAATATATTGTGACTTGGCACGAATGTTTTATTTTAGAGTTTGATTATTAACACCTGCTTTTCCATACTAATCCTCTTTTATTGAAGTGCAAAAGGTAAGGATACTTGTTCCCATGTTGTATAAAATAAGCTAAATTAGTGGGTAATTTGAGAAGAACTTATTTAGCGATAATGTCATTATGTTGAGACATGCCAAAATTGACAATATGGACATCTTGCTGACCGATTCTTTTATTTTGCTGAAATTATATATATAATGCACGGTTTATCATACTTGCACTACATTTTCAAGGTACATAGAGATATTAAAAGTGGTAATATTTTGTTGACAGAGTTAAATATTATTTAACTATCTATGTTAGCAAGAAGCTCTTGTTAATACTTGTGCAGTTGGGTAATTGTTTTACCTTGTGGTTCTCGAAATCTTAGAAAGCCCTTTAAGTTGGAACTTGCCATAAATGTCAGTGCACATGTACTTTTATTATGTCTGTCTTCATTTAAAGCTCAATTGAAATAATTTTTGCTTTGCTATCTCTATCAAATTTGTGACCAGTATCATTCAGGCTTTTTTATTGCACTACTTGTGAATGTAGTCTGCTTACACCTTAAACATTTAGATGAGATAATTAACATGGTAATAGAGATAGGACAAAGACCTGGGTTCATATTTGCCACCACCAATTTATGAAACTCATGCAAGTGATATGTTGATGATAAAATGAATTCATGGGGCTTTTCAAGATCAAATTTAAATAAATAAATGTGGCTACTTTACAGAGGCTTAAGCTTTTGGGTCACATGTGCACATGAAGTTTATTCATTTGCATTTTTGTTGTAATACATAGAATTTATTGTCCTTATTGGTTTATCAAGCTATTTATTTTACATGCCCCCAAAAAGGATAATTAGAAAAATGAAATGGATATTTAGTTAGTGGAGACTACAATGTTATGGATATATGATTATTCACCTTTCAATTCCTAATTACAAAGAACATGGGAAAAGGGCAAAAATAACGTCGTCGTTGGATGAAGTTGGTAGAGCTCTACTCCATTTTGTTCTATATATGCTTATTTATAAATTGAAAGATATTAATAGAATTATGTTAAAGTGTTTGGGTTTTTTGGTTTCTAATTGGATTATGATTTATTGATGTAGTTGTGTTTGAATGATGATTAGATTGCAGAATGCTATAGAGGATTTGGCGCGGATGTGATAATGACATCGGAATCATGTCGAAATGGTAAAATAAGCCCTTCAATCTGTCGTGAATCATGGAAACTTGTGTTGGTTAATATATTGCTAATTTTTTGCTTTTATATATTTTCTAGGCATAGAGCATTGTAATGAAGCACATCAAAAGCTTGGAACAAGTACGATATTGTTGTCAATATTCAGGGTGATGAACCTCTTATTGAACCTGAAATAATATATGGCATAGTAAAGGCTCTTCAGGTAGTGTTTTTGTCGTATGTACTTCCTGGCTAATGAATTCATTAGTATAGCAAATAACAAAAAATGGAAAAGATAGGGACAGTAAAGGTTGAGCTTGTATTTTATTATCTTTTCTCTCTGGTACGATAGTAGTCAATAGCATATCCAAAATGCGATACCCAGTTCTTGCAATAAGCAGTGAGCGCATTGTTAGTATCTATTTAGTATGTCATTTTGGCCCACTCCAAACCAATCTACAATTCGTGGTGCTCATGCCTCAAGGCTATACTAAAGCATGTCGATACCACTCAAGAGTTTATAGCAGTTAATTGCACATTAGTTTAAATGATAATTGTTTTATAGTAGACGCGCAAGTTCCTTGATTTATTTTCATTGAATTCCAAAAGTTAGTGTTCCATATATACCTGGGTGTTAAGGAAGTCTCATTGGTGGACATAAAACAATAATACAATCCCCAGTGTGAACCAATCCTTGGTCATATAATCTTTGTCAGAGCACCCTCAGGGTGCCATGAATATCAGGCCTTGGGGTTGTTGGTCTATCACCGTTTGGGCTATTCTTATGGGTTTCTCAAGGTACTTTTGAATTGGAATGAGAACTAAATAATTTTCTTTTCTAAACATTATCTCCTCATAATCGGTGAGACTGGATTGAGATTTTGAAAGAAAACGTTCATAAAGCCAACTGTCGTGGACCAAAATATCTAATACAATATTCACACCTCTCCTCTTATTATAAGATAATAGTACAAACTTTACATGCAAGATAGTGGTATTTAACAAGAATTATTATCAAATAGGAAAACTATGCTACTTTTTATGGGTTGTGTTTGTTTTGTGCCCACTTTATACAACTGAAATGAGATTGGTAACTTGTACTGGCTACTCAAAATGCAGTGTTCAGTACTGCATTTACTTCTTTGAAATCTGAAGATGCATTTAATCCAAATCAGTTAAATGTGTGGTGGACAATCGTGGATATGCAATTCATTTTTCACAAGGACTGATACCATTCAACAAGTTAGTGCTTCTCTACTTTTGTAATCAGTATGCGAAAGCATATCTCAAACACTTCAATTTTAAATATTGATATTTATTTATATGCAATTGACATAGGTTTGGAACGGTGAATCCTGAATTTCTGTACTTGCTTCATTTGGAGATTCAAGTATCTATTAAACAAAGTTCAGTTTGTAAAGCCATTTTTTTCCTCCTCTACACCACGCCTCTTGTTGTATAGATGTATTTTTTTTTTTCCAATTGTGCTAGAATTTCTCGAATTTCACTTTGTGGGTTTGAAATTAGAAGGCCTTGTTTGAGTAGCAATAGTAAAGTTCGAATCTTGTGTAAATTATCACCTTCAAGTGTGAAACTTACTAAACTTGAGATTTTTTATTTTTCATTTGTAGGGTTTCGCTTGTAACATGCATTCATGCTAGCACTATGCTCTCATTTGCAAAAGGTAAATGCTTTTTATTTTATTCAGTTCCTTCTCTGTGTTTTTTTTAGGTAAGATTAGTTAATATTTTTTCGAATAAAGTATTAAACCGTGAAATGTCATGTTGTCATGCATGAAAAGAAAAATTATGGCTGCATAGCGAAACATAAACATGATTATTTGTTTTTGACCTCTTACAGCCAAGTTAAGTTTGCACATGAGAATATGTATTTTTGCATCCCATAGAATATTAAAATAACTTGCATAAAATTCACTTTGGGGAAAATAAACCAAAAATTTAATGTGACGCATAATACTAGCTGGAAAGAGAGAGATGATGATCCTATTCTGGAATAGCTCCCATGGTCATCAACCAATGAACTTTCTGAGGAACATCAAAATACACAAAAAGCTACTTATAGATTCTCAATTGTGTTTTTGTATTTCATGATGGATCTCATCAGCCCATAAACCCAAAATAAACTCAATTGTTAAAGAACTGTTTCTATAGTTTGATATTTGTAAAATTCTACTGAATTTATTGATATTAATAGTGTTTTTTTTTTTTTTGGTTTGAAACGACTAAAACCAAAAAGAATTAAACAACAAGAAATGAAAATGAGTTGCACAAAATGCCAACTTTCAAGAGGTTTGCTCTCTCCCACACTCTCCAATTTTCTAAATGTCATGCAACTACTCTCCCTCCCATATTTATTCTAACTCACAATTTATTCTATCATTTCCATAATACCCCTATTCCCTTAACAGTATACAATGCTTTGTCGATGTCTATAACCTATTGTAGCATTGCTGTCTTCATCACCTGTAGGCCTCCAAATTCTTCTTTCGTCGCTCATAAGTGAACTGTAGTTGGGGCATATCCCCTACTTTATCATAAAAAGTGTAAGCATTACACTATATATATCCACAAGGATCTTTCCAGTAAAAGTAAAATTTAGTTGCTTACTAAGCATTCTTTATGTTATCCTTATATGAGTTAGGATGCAAGGAATGTTAGAAATCCTAGAGAAAAGCATAAGATATACTGGTGAACATAGAGGAAAATTGTACTTAATCTGCCATTGATAAGCCTAATTAGCTATACTCGTTAGATTTAAACCAAACCTGATTGGGAATATGGTTCATGCAATTGACTATTGTGACATAGTTTGGGAGTTTCAACTGATAAAGATGAACATAGATTGTACTTCTTTGCAGGATGTAAACATTTTCTAAGCATTACAATTCTTGACAAACCTTTGATGCATTGCATCATTTAGCTATTCTCTATGCCTCCTTATAAAGAAGTATTCCTTTTATTGTTAATTTGTTTAGCTTTCACATTGACAGTATCATGTCGATTCTATTTATTCTAATTATCTCAATCATGAACAGAAAAAAAAAGGGTTTCGCTTCTTATGGCAACTGTGCTCTTTCAAGAACCATCCATCGATCCTCTGATCAAGTTGGCCGTTCACTTCGACCATATGTGTGTCCTCCATTAGCTTGCTTGGTAAACATAGAAGATGTTTCTTTAATTTCTTATTGATTGCTTTGCTATTACATTGTGATTTTACTTTATAAACTTGGATTGCATTTGACGCACTACATAATTTTTGAGAGATACAGATATATTTTGCATTGGGTTCTGCTTTAATTCCGTTAAAATAAACAATTTTCCATTACCACCGTAAAAATGTGTTTTTAGGATTCTTCAATAACATATTTCCATTAAATTTGATTATGCATGTTAACAATCACTTGGATGATGAAAAACATGCCCAAAATCTCAAATTAGCAAAACAAATCTCTATCGCTCCCCCATTTGTTTGTATATATGGTATCTATTCTTATTTATGTGAAATTTTGTTCTGCATATAATGTTGGAGGGATAAAAACAAGAATGAAAGCAATAATGATACATATCTGGCTAACTGTCTACGTCATCAAGTTCTCCTATTTAGCTTTTGCATTTTCACTTGCCTAAACAAAAATCATTATCTTCTTTCCATTTATCCAAAACAGTCATAACATAAAACACTAACATCACCTTCAAAAAAACCCAATGCACAGGTAAAAACTAGTATAGTTATAAGTACAAATTTATTAATACTTTCACACGTTTCTATCTTTGAGTTTTTCCTCTTCCACTCAAATCTAACTACCTCTTAAAAACTTCCGGACACCCACTTGCCATTCCATTTTCTCACTTACCAACTAATAAGAGAGATTCCCCCAATTACCTTATTTCTCTCCCATCACTCTCGATTTCTTTTATTTTTCAAACTTCTCATAACTTGTCTTTCCCTATATTTATTTCTCATTTCTTTCCATATTTTGGGTGTATCAAAACAAAAAGAAGAATTGTCCAGTAGCATTGATAGTACATATATTCCTATGGTTGAAATGCATTTGAAAGTTATAAGGTAGGATAAAGAAGTACAAATAGTTTTGTTTCGTTTAATTTTTGTTATTTCATATGGATAAATATTATACTAATATTCGTTTACTAGTGTGTATTTCTCATACTTACCCCCTTTCTCCCTTACCTCACATGTTAGTACGGGTCATGTCGGAGCGTGACGATTTAATGGTGTGGTCGTGCCTCAGTTCACGAGACTAAAATCTAAAATTTAAGCACGTAACTTTGTTTCTTTTTAAATTTGATTGCAATAGACATTTAAGTTTAATTAAAACTCGGACATGTTTATTTGGATATAGTTGTATGTCTTCTAGTAGATAATGTTTAGATTGCAGTTTTAATTAGAAGTTAGAATTAAATGTTTGATGCAAATTACGTTATTTTCCTTTTACCAATTTCACTGCTTAAAGTATTTGAATTTTTGTCCTTACTGCTAACCTTATTTCTAATTAAACGTTTAGTTGGCTGCCATACCCGTGCACCGTAATAAAATTGTCTCATGGCCATGAAATTTAAAATATTTGGATTTATTATTTAAACAAAAGAAAATCTGAAATTTGCTGCATAATATTACGAAGACATGCATGTATTTTTCAAAATTGGTAGAATTCATTGTAGTGTGTTTTTGTTCTTTTAACATTTCCAAGTAATAAATGGCACATATATTAAGAGTTACAATCACTGGCATGACACTAATTTATTCTTTGATAATTAGATAGTAGTTTGATTTCCTTTTAGTCTTGTTTAAATTTTAATACGAAATTGCAAGTTAATTCGTACCATAAAGGAAGCTTTTGGCAGCGATTCATATTAATTTTATCAAATAAAAAATGTGTCGTTACAATTTTTATTTTGATACATGAATGATAAATGTTATTCAACTCAAGTCTCTTTTAATGGGAGGTCATTTGTTCGGATCTTGGTAATGAAGTAGAAATTTGTGAAAGGTAAAATAGGCTCAGATCCTCCATAATGAACAATACGTAAATTAACGATTTGATCACAGAGATCAGATCGTTACATTGAATCTCAAACAAACCTTTTATTTATATTAAACAATGATAACATGATGCTCAAAACAAATTCTTAATTTACTAAACAATGATGACATGACACTTTGGTTACTAACAAAGTTAATTAAATTCATGGGACACACGGAGAACTCATCCACGCGCCTAAGAACTCATCCTTGTACAAAAACTAGTGGAGGATCGTGCGTTGCACGATGACTGTTATAATTTGGATATAAATTTTGTTATAAAAATGCTCTATTTTAGATTATGTAAGATTTAGTTGTATATTGTCAATAATGTTAAGTGACTCTGTGAAAAAAATTAATAACAATAGAATGCTCAGAAACTAATAATTTCTTCAACTTTCTTAAATTATCTGAAATGAAAAAGGAGGCAAAAAAAAAAATTAACAGAGTGATCAAAAATTAATAATTTCTCAACTTTCTTAATTGTATCCACTACCATAGAATCTGTAAGTAGAAAGTTTCCTTAGCGTTGCAAGGATATTCACCCAAAAAAACTCAATAGAACGGAAATAAATGAAGTATTGAGAGACATCAGAAAGTCGGATAAATTTAAGGAAGTTGGGAGTATCTACGACCTGCAATATATTAGAAACACCATAAGAAAGAAATGCTTGGTGGCAAAGCAAAAGCACATACATAAATACAAGAAGAAAATAATAACTAAGTTCCAGTTAAGTTGATGATTTATAGAAAATTTGGATACCTTTTGTTTGAGGGAATCTGTATCCAAGGATATAATGCTTGTAAGGACAGTGTAAAATATGAAGGTGTCATAAGGAAAAATCTCATAAGTCGTGAAAGTGGAGATAGAATCAAGGAAATGATCTGCTGCTTTCTTGCAGTTACGGGTGGACATGCAATACAATCCTTCATACACATTTAAACGGTTGTTCCTCTCCCAGTGAGCTCCTTCTTCAAACAAGCTGTGTCATGCTAATTGTCAAAATCGAAACTAAAATAAAATGAAACAAGGAAATTTTGAATATAAGATTATCATCTGTGTTGATCCTTACTTTTCTGCTTTGTCAATGCTTTTAGAGATGAGATTAAAGTCCATGTGGAGGAAACCAATCTATAGTGTGCAGGAAACCAAGTCCATCTTTTGTCCAGATGCAACGGTCTTACTTTCTGTTAACTTTAGTTGCTCCAGTTTATTGTCCTGAATTTTTAAAGAACAATGAATAAATTCGATCAAAATAACATAAGTAAAATATCAAAGGATCAAATCTGTATGACTGTATATTAGCGCCAATTCTAATAAAAAATAAGGACTTTACCAAGTGAGCTTCCTGAACTTCACTTTCACAACAGAATTAAGAACTTTTTTCAAAAAGAAGGATAGAAGAATATCAGCACCTTTGGACATGAATTGTAATGAATCCTTGCAAGACTTTCAACTGAGCAATCAAAAAACTCAGAGAGACTTTCTAGCGACTGTTCCTCTGCCTAAAACAAATAGCATTAAGTCTCTAAGAACCAACATATACCAGATGCATATTTTTGTAGATACAAAAGTGAATCTGCAAGAGAAATACCTTCC